TACTGAAGCACATAATATAAAGTATTAGAGCATTTATAAAAGACCTGAGGAAGACAGGCAAAATTGCTAGCATAGTCTATAAGAGACCGATTTCCACTGAGCAAAAAAAGAAACTGTTCGACATCGGCGAGCTCGGACCGGCCGAGAGCAAACATCCGGTCTTTTTTTTGGAAGAAGACGACGACGACGAGCGAATCAACGCCAGCTAAAGCGCTGGCATTTGCGAAAACTCCTCAAGGAGTTGAGTATTTTGAGCTGAACCGAATTCAGCTCGGTTCTTTACCAGCCACGAAAACTATCCGGGTGGCCTCGGAGGTTCTGAAGTTGAAGCCAAGCATACAAGCGTACAGAATTTAATCATGAAATTTAATAAAACAATTATTCCATTCGCGCTTGTTGGATATGAGATTGGTTATAGCCAACTCATATCCAACGCGCGCTCAAGGAATGTTTGACAATAATTTTGATAATGGGGAAAATAAACTGAAAAAAAATCCACACCATACTATTGAACTTGAAATTGAATAATCGTTGGATGTTGTCCTTCAGTAGCATTTGAAATGAAAGTGGCAAAAGTTCAATTGAGGCCTTACGCTACTGTAAAATGATATTAAAATCGTTTAAAAATCCAAGCTTTCGCCGATCTACGGCATCATCAGGCATCATCATCCCTGATGACGCCGTAGATCGCCGAAAGCTTGGATTTTTAAACGATTTTATATCATTTTACAGCAGTGTAAGGCCTCAATTGAACTTTTGCCACTTTCATTTAAAATGCTACTGAAGGACAACATCCAACGATTACTTCAATTTATATTTTAAAGGATAGAAACAAAATGGCGAGAGAACCTAATAAAAACAACGGGGCTTGTAAGCTTAGGTTCCCTCTCAAGAAACACCAGATGACTAATTTAGATGAAGTAATTACACAAGGACCATGACCTTCAGTGTTATTTTTGTCTATTTTGTTGTTCGCATGGTTGTTGTTCAATCCATTCGAAAACATATCCGGTTGGTCTTAGACAATCCTGTTTACGTGACGCGTGATTCACGTGACTGGTCAAAAATTACCTCCACTAACAGCCACCTCTCTACAGTGTTGAGCCACTTTCTTCTGTAGCAAGTCTCTCCCAGGCTCCTTGCGGCTAGGCCGCTCGTTGTCGAGGCTTCGCCTCTTAGCGCGCTCTGGAGGCAGCACAGCACCTGTCGCGGCACAAGTTATATATGTTTGGCGGGATTTCAAGTCACGTGACCGGCCAGAAAAAGGAAATGAAAAAACCCTGTAAACAATCGACAACTGTGAACCTTGACATAAATTAACCGTTCCTAAAATTTAAACATGAGTGATATTTTTAAGACAGTTTGTAACTGGATGTCAGGCTTCTGGTTTCCCACGTCAAAGGAGCAGCTTCAAGATGCTGAGTGCAAGATTTTGGAGCAGCGAATAAAGCGACCTTGGGTAGGCAATTTTATTCGTGTCGAAGAAGATGTCGAGATGTGGACAATTCAAGTAAATCTCTCACCATCGAAGCAGCCCCCTCTTGTTCTCGTGCATGGCTTCATTAGCGGAGTTTGTTGGTGGGCTCAAAATTTCACCGACCTTAGCGATGAACGCAGTGTTTACGCCTTCGATTTGCCGGGTTTTGGCCGAAGTTCGCGGCCGGATTTAATGCAAGATGGCGAGGATGCCGAAGGCAAATTTGTACGTTATATCGAGGAATGGAGGAAGGTAGTAGGATTAGACAAAATGATCCTATTAGGACACAGCCTCGGGGGTTACATAGTGATGGCTTATGCCTTGAAGTACCCTGACAGAATCAAGCACCTAATACTGTCTGACCCCTGGGGATTTGCCATTTTACCCTATGGTATTGTGGACAGACACCCAGATTCAGAGCAGCGGTACGACTTGCTTCCAAGGTGGGTCCACTGGGGGAATTTTATTCTTAACACCTGTAACCTGCTTTCTCCAATAAGAGCAGTTGGTCCATTTGGTCCTTGGGTTGCTCGCTTAGCTCAGTTTGACACGAACAAACGGGCATCAGAGTTGTGGAAAGACAGGGCTATGCTTGAGTACATATACCACTGCAACGCTCAGACACCGTCTGGCGAAGATGCCTTTCGCAACATGAATGTTTTGTTGATGTGGGCCAAGTCTCCGATGGTAAAGCGAGTGAAAGATCTTCCTGATGATGTTCCAATGACAGTCATGTATGGTTCGTCCACGTTTTTTGATCATCGCACAGCTTACGAGATAAAATGCAACCGGAAGAACTCCAAGGTCGAAGTGTGTATTGTTAAAGATGCTGGTCACGACATCCATGTCGATAATGCTGCGGAATTTAACAGAATATTGAAAGAAACTCTCCAAGGTATTTCAGATAAAGACGAGTGGACCACTGTTGACTGAAGTTATGCCTTTTGAAGTTCTGTTTGGGAAGAAGCAAGCCTTGTTTCTTTAAGACCATGCCCCTGATTAACAAAATTCACTGCTTTCATGGCCCGGGTTTCATGGTAACAGTCATCGTTTTACTGTTCTTTGGAGCTGAATGGAACAAATGTGACTTTCAAATTTTACTCGACCCAAAAACAATAGATACATTACTCTGGTGTCAAAATGCATGCACTGATCACGTTGCAGGTGCTGTAAGTCTGTGATTTACTCTAAAGAGTGTTAGGACTACAAGGAAAGTGTTGACTCTGCTGTTGTGATGTACTGAAGGGTAGCAAAAGTATACAGCACTGATGGGTTAATTTACTGTGCCACTTATGGTTTTACAATTGAAGTTGAAGTAGTTAGCACTATAAAGTTCTTGTAAATTGCTACTTTTGGGCAGCTACATGTAAAATGTGCACATGCTTTTTTGCAGTGTCATTACCTTGAGATAATTCTGAATGACGTTTTGGCTTCTCTATGTACCAGTCATTCGAAACCCCTGCACCCCCCTTTTCTCCCCTTTAGGGGATACCCAGGGCAAGCCGAGGCTTTTCACCTTGTTTTCACTCAATTTAGGTTCCCTGGTAGTTGGGGAATGCACAATTTTTCACAGCTTTGCTATACAAAGCGGGGGTTTGGCGGGATTTTCACTCAATGAGAAAAAAATAAGTAACCTTGACATCAGTGGTATGAAAAAAATCTTTTCAAAGCTCCAGATGTTAAAAAAAATTATAATTTATTTAATGAATGGTGCTTGAAGTTTAGAGGGCAGTGGAGTTCACCTGCAAGATGGGGCTTTCTCTGCATTTCACAGCCAGTAAAAGTGAATGCCCTGGGTATCCCCCAATGGGGGGGGGGGGGTAGGGGGGGTTGGAATGACCAGTGCATTAGAGGTCAACACTTCAATCTTTATGGCACATAATTTATTATCGTAGTACCTCTCGGAATGCAATTTGTAGGACATAAGCCACTTGTATAGTGGGTGGGGAGGGGGTGGAACCTACAACCTTAGTCACAAGGGTTGGAAAAAAAATCATTTTATACACATTTTGCCCATCCCCTGTTCAATGTTGACAAAACACTTTCATCTGACACAAGTTTGCATTTTACCATTTTCCAACATTGAAGGGGAATGGGGGTGTTGACACTTATTCTGTTGGCATTATGATTCTGATCTCTTGTTTTTGGCATTTTCCAACACAATTTGTCCATGATTGTAGCTTAGCACGCCTCCACAAAAATGCACCCTGTAATAGGAGTTTTATAATTAGTTATTTACAGAAAAGAGCCTTCACCAGTGTTCATGTTCTAAGATTCAGTTGTTCCTGTCATGGCGTGTAGAAGTCACAACAATGTTGTTTTTGTGTGTAACATAATTTTTTTGTGCTTTAGTTATTTTAAAGGGTTTTGTTTTGTTTAAGGGGGGAAATGGTTTTTTTTTTTACATATTCAGAAAGGAACACATTTGCTACTAACAAAGACTTTCCAAGAAGGGCTCAAGGCTAAAATAGTAAGAGAAAATTAACAGTTCTTGAGGTTGTATCATAATTTTTCTCATGAGGACGGAAGAACCGAAAAGACAATTTTTATATTTGAAGTCATCCACAAAAAAATGGAGATTAGGCAATGGGAAAGTAGTTAGCAATCCTTGTTTTGTGCTTTCCTACAGAGAAATACCCCTAGCCAGGCAATATATGAGCTTCTTCAGTTATTTATTTGTATGTGTAAATAATCTCTAATGTAAATATTTATGCATGACTGTCATTGTCTCAGAGTATTTGTTTCATTTATTGTGGTATATAATATGGAAAAAATTTTAAATGTTCAGTGAAAAATGTACATTAGCACAACCTAGTGTTGGCTTGTTATTGCAATCTGATTGCCTGAACAAGTACACTGTACCTCATATTGGTTAATAGAGGGCCCTTGGAGTGCACTTATGGTTTTTTATGCATTCTGGCCAAAAAAAAAGAGCTAATGCACAAACTATTGTAATACATTCTATTAAATTCTATGTTAATTAACCTTATAGATCAGCTAGTGGGTCATGCTTCAGTTAGACCTCTCACAGTTGATTTCTACTGACTTTGAAAACTGAACCCAGCTTGTAGTCTGATTTTATTAACAAAACACAATTTATCACAAACACGTTAGTTCAGGTTGCTACACTGTATATTGGATATTGTGAGACTTCCGGTTTGCTTGATTTTCAGAAAATTTCACTGTCATCTGCTTGCTTGACATTGTTAATGTTGCAAGGAAAACTAGATGTTGTGCAATAATGGAGCTCATGTTTAAATAGTGATAATTAGCAAAAATATTGTCTCCCTTAGTTTTAACTTACAAAGCTGACTGCTGTGAAGACCAATAAAATCATATTTATGATAAATAAAAATTTGTATGATTTATTTGACCAGCTCCATGTTGTATATTCAAGTCTTGAGGCTCATTTCTCGAAGGTCCTGAAATGTTTTTGAACCTGGAAAGCCGTAGCAAAATCTCAAACCTTTCATACAAAAAGTTTCAGGTCTATACACCTCTCTGTTTTTAGATACAAATGAACTAAAAATGGCTTTTCTGGCCTGAAAAGTTTCCAGGGCTTTCAAAAAGTGGGCCCCTGGAAAAGAAAAATGGTAGTTACATCTCAAATACCAGCTTGGTAGAGAAATATTGTTTTTGCTCTTTGGGCTCATACATTTAAAATTATGAGAATAGTTCAAGGCTTCTTTGGTCATCCCACAAAAAGATTTCCACAGATTTGCTGCTGAAACTTCTGTCCTTTTTTTATTCAAAGTCCATCATTTGTTCAGCAATCAAAGCTTCTCCCTTGAGATCAGCTGAAAAAAAAACAAACAAACAAATGTTAACAGCGGACTACATTCTTGCTGAACTATGATGTGTCCAGCGTTAAGAAGCTGAGAGAAGAAAAGTTGGGAAGGAACATTGGTAAATTAACCAATGCCTCGCTATTTTTTAAAAGTAAACTTTGCTAGGTTATTTTTAAATGCAATTTCTGTTAGTTTTGTTTGTAGTTTTAGTTTTTATCATCATTTTAATGTTTCAGTGTTGGCGTGATGTCCTCTGGATGTTGCTGATAAAATAATATTTAGATTTAGATTTAGACTGAAAATTCGGTTTTATAATTTACACCATACATTAGTGAATTTAGGCACTAACCTCCCTCAGCAATGGTGTGTGAGTCTCCAACTTGACAGTCCTTAAGGCTGGCATTTTTCTTGACATATGCATTTGTACAGATAATACTTCCCTGGATGTTGCAACTGGCAAGACAAAAAGATTTAAAAACAATGAATTATAACAAATGATATTAATATCATTAAGCATTTCTGAAGCCTCCCAAACCAAACACCCATAAGTATCATTTATAGGGCTTATATCAGATGCATATTGAGCATTTAATGCCAAAGTCATACATATTAAATACTTAACTGAACTCCATAACTACAAGTTAATCATTTTGGTTGCCACAATGAGAAAGGCATTTTAAGTTACAATCATAGTAGTTTGCTTGTCTGCAGATTTTTAAATGATTCTTAGACAACTTATAAAACTTAATGATTGTTTCACATTTACACTTTTTTATCCCTGAAAAATCAGTAGCTAGCACAGTCAGGACTAGTAGATCACAATTTTCACTGTTTGGTGGTGCTTCCCCATAATTTATAGATCAAGTTCATGCTAAGGCCACTTTGTTGGAGTCAGGAAAATGGCAAAACACCAAATTAAATGCACTGCCATTCATAGAAGGACTCTAATGCCCTATTTTGAAAAGGACATTCAACTGTTTTGCCATGTGCAATGAACAATATTATTGTTCACGATGTCTGTCAGTTATTGAAGGTCAAGGAAAGACACAGCAACTTACTACATAAGTGACCAGAAGCTTAATGTACTAGTAATGGTATTCCACCTGGATGAGATGCACATGTACAAAGTGTTATCCTAATATTCATTATCCCTAAAAAAGAGTCTGCAATCAAGTTTTGTGGCAGGTTTCTGTGCATGAAGAGATTGGGAGTATTTCAGTCTACTTTCCCCTGGATGGGATGCTAGTCCATCTGATGGTTACCCCCCAGCATTAAGTTTACTGGTGTCCATTTATACACCTGGGTGGAGAGAAACACCATGAGAGTAAAGTGTCTTGCCCAAGAACACAATGCAATGAACCCAGCCAGGGGTAGAACCATTAGGCCATCATGCCGCCACATTTATTATTATCTGTGGTTGCTCCAAAATCTGGTAAACATTTTCAAATCTGGTTTACAATAATCTGGTTTTATTATTAAAAAAAAAAAAAAACACGACTACCACAAGTATTCCCAACCTAGAAGCACTTCAGACTACCGTACTTACCCCTCTGTTATTGTTACATGATCCATAATCACAGAGTTGCTAATCTTGACTTTCTCTCCTATGGTTGTGTGTTTTCCTATTACAGATTTCTTTATTGAAACTTTTTCTCCTATAGATACACTCTCATCCACCATGCAATCATTTCCCACCTGGAAAACAGTAATCAGACAAAGTAAATGGCCTGAACCCTGAGCGAGAAGACTTGAGAAGTTCTCCTATGTGATTGTCTTGCTGAGGGTAGTCCTGTTGGTGGCTGCATAGAATCAAAATTTGATTGACAGTAATCCGTTCAATTTGTATTTAATGCAAATAGATTACTGTCATGAATATCACTGATTGCTGGCCAACAGTCGGCAGACAGCAAGTGTTTAACTTTAGCCAACAGTCAGCTAACAACAAATTATTGATCAACAGTTTTTGTGAGAACTGCTCCTCACTTTTTCCCTTTTCCCTGGATCTTTAACGTCCTAACTTGATATTAAAACCTAGCTTACTACAATCATGTATTTTTCAACTAGGCAAGAATCAGACTTTAAAGCTTTCTTTCACACAAAATGGGGAAAAATAATTCAAGAATCATTGATAGTGATGAAAATATTGAAAACAAAATGATATCGTCAGCATTTCCCCCAGATTTTCAAACTAGAATTTTTTTCAGGTAATCAATTTGCGATTCTTTTTTAATTAATACTTCAAAGCCTCTTTAAAAGTGTAATGAACAATTCCTGCAAACAATTAATTATATGAATAAATAATATTGAGTCAATGACAACAGATGAATGGAGGAAGTGATGAAGGAAGTGGAGAGAGGATATATAACAGTTTTAAAGACAAACTCATGGGAAGGAAGGAAGGGAGGGAGGGAGGAAGAAAGGAAGGAAGGAAGGGAGGAAGGAAGGGAGGAAGGAAGGAAGAGAGGGAGAAAGGGAAGACGAAAGGAAGGAAGGAAAGAAGAAAGGGAGGGAGGAAGGAAGGAAGGAAGGGAGGATCGTTTCCCAAATGTCCTCGTTCCTTTTGCTACTTTTCGTTAAATCTGTTAAGTCTGAGATATTATATCATTTCATTGTCGCTCCATGGCGTAAAAGCATTTAGAAGTTGAACTGCAATTTCCCAGTCAATATAAAATTGAAAAACAGCAACGTTGTTGGATTTTGAAACAAAGTTGAAAAATTAAAGGTAAACAGTCCAAACTGTTCTCTCACAAGGAGACACTTGACTGAGACATGGAAGGGAATGACTAAGTTAAATCTATC